CATTAAGGATGGAAGAATACTTGTATCCATTTTGTTGAGATATTTTGAATCGGAAAAGTCTGGTTTGCTTTCTTGGCTAATGAAGTTTGGTGAGTTCAAAGAGAGATTACTGGCTGATGATCTCTTCTTGGCTAAAGTTTTCATTGAATGTGGAGTTGGACTCTTCACCAAGGTAATCGAATTTAATGAAATTAATTTAAATTCTTGTGAGTATGTTAATATTGTTCATATTTAGTTCGAAGTTAGAATGCTGCTCTTAAGCACATCGATTGGATCGCTCACTCAAATGATGATTGTCGAATGCCACTACACCAATAGATTTTCAAATGAAATGGTTAAAGCGCAATAGTATATGTTTTTCCTTGTCAATTGTTCAAGGGTTGTTTATTTTTATTATATTGTTGTTGGTAAGGGATTTACTATTATTTATGATGAAAATGATTTGTGATATTGATAGCAGGAGAAAATGGTGTGTTCCTGAATTGATATAGTGCAAAAGGTTGTACCTTTAGTAGTTTCAACAAATTGGATTGGTAGTATCAGTTTTAATTATAAGCTTAAAATATTTACATTATTTACATTTAGCAGTTAATATTACTTGTTTGTATTAGTTATTTTATTGGAGTCGATGATAAAAGTATGAGAACTCTTAGAGAACCATTGTAATAAAATATCACACAACTTTTTACAAGTTTGATTGTGCCTCATAACCCAAAATGTTTGCGTCTGCACCTGATATAAATTGTATCTTTCATTTAATGATACTCAATGCCACTAAAACTGGTATTATAACATCGATGATGCTAAATAGCATCGCTCTTTCCTTTTTCTTTCTTTTATTTCATTTTCTTTTCATTTTCCCACTTTATGTCTCTGTCTTCTGTTTCTTTTTCTAGCTGTTACTCTCAACGTCAATTCATTCGCAAGTGTAAGCAATACATTTTCCCACGTTCTGTCTTCTCTTTTCCTTTGCTTTCCTTTCCTTTTCGTTCTCCTCATTTTCTAAATGGTTAAAGCTTCCAGACTTTCTTAATTTTCTTCACAAATTGACCCCCAAAATTTCACAAATCTTTTACACTGAGAATCCTTACTCCTACACACTTCCAGTCACTCCGAAAAACACATTCACGGAGGAAAGGTCAGATCTCTATCTAGGTTTGGTTGTTTTTCTATTTATGTCTTATTTGGCTCTTACAGTGTCATCATGTTTGTGGTTTAACTCCCTTGTTACTATTTTAATGTCTTAAGATGTTTTTTAAACTGCTGTTTGACAATTTATGGCCTGTAAGTGGGTAAATTCTTGAATCTAGGGTTTATGAACCAATGGAGTTTAAGCTGTAAAAAAATAAATCAGATTTTTCAATAAATATGCATAAATGGAAAAAGTATATGTATTTGCGAATTA